GGAAGTAAACGTCTAGGTTCTGACCTTGCTTCAGTGGAAGACGTTTGGACTCTGCCTCTTGCTGTGAAAACTGGGCATAGCTCTGTCTTTTGTAGTTGTTTTTGGCCTCATGTCAGACTCTCTTGCTTGGGAATAGAGGGTGACTTCTCGTACCTGCCACTTCTAGTCCTGTTTTGCTTTTGAATGCCAAACACAGGCACCCAGGCACAATATTTTCCTTTTCTTCCATCCATATCCCAGGCCCCCTTGCTTGGCGTTGAGGCTGGGACTGGCAGTGTTGCTTGAATCATTTCTTTAATAGGACCGTCCAGCAACATCATTGGTGCTTTTTTTTTATTTTTTATTACTTCCTTCCACCGACGTGGCAGATCTGTTCAAGACTGCTGTTCAGAAGACTGCGCTTGTGTTCAGAAATGCACTGAGGGAAGCTGCTGAGCGTGTGTTTGGTCAGTGGTGCTCCCAGCTTGTCCTGGCTTCGGCTGGGATGGAGTTAATTTTCTTTCTGGTAGCTGATGTGCTGCTGTGTTGATAACGCACTGATGTTTTTAGTTGTTGCTGGGCAGTCAAGGACTTTGCAGCTTCTCACGCTGGCCTGGCCTGCCCGGTGCGTGGGGAGCTGGGAGGGGACACAGCTGGGACAGCTGACCCAAACTGGCCACAGGGATGTTCCATACCGTATGGCGTCATGCTCGGTGCATAGCTTGGGGGTGGCCAAGGGGCAGCGGTTGCTGCTCGAGGACCGGCTGGGTATCGGTCATCGAGTGGCGAGCAATTGCATTGTGCATCACCTGTTGTATATTATTTATTATCATCATCATCTCTTCCTTTGCTTTCCTATTAAACTGTCTTTACCTCAGCCCCTGAGTTTTACTTTATTTTCATCCTCCCCATCCTGCTGGGAGGGGGGAGAAGTGAGTGGGCGGCGGCGTGGTCCTGGGTGCCGGCTGGGGTGAGACCACGACCCAGCTAAACCCGTTACAGCAGTGCCCAGTTTGTGCGGTTCGCTGGGGCCCTCAGAACGCTGAGGTTCCGCTGAGCCGTTCCTTCAGGGTGAGCGTTGCCTCTTCGGCTCCAAGCACGTGGTAAGCTGGGTCAGCTCGCGCTTAAATGCTAGCTGGTGAACGGAGTAAGGGCCTCGACCTGCGAATTTAAAGCCCGAAGGCCTGTTCCAGGTTAAATTGGCAATCGAGTCATTTGGCAGTGAGTCTGGCCGCCCACCTCACTCCTCACCATAGAAAGGTTTGGGCTTCCCTAGGGATGTTCCTTCACACTTCTTCTCCAAGCTGGGGAGTGAAGGCGGAGGTCCAAGCTCTGGGCTACGGACGTCTGTGAGCTGTCTCTGGCAACTGCGGAGAGCTGCAGCCAGAAGTCGTAAGCAGGGGGGGAGAGGTCATTTCCAAAAAGGAGACTGGGTAATTCGGTTTCAGCTCAGCAGTTACCTTGACAGGGAAGATGGCAGGGAGTTCACTGTGTTTTGGAAAACTGCTGCTCATCTTACAACCTGAATGACTGTTGGTTAACTGCTGGGAATGGGAGAAGACTTGTGACTCAGACCAAGTCATCAATCTGTGACTCTCTGTTTCTGAAGGAGAGAAGGTACTAATATTAATTTCTTTGGTACTTGATGAGACCACTGTATTTCTGTGGTATACATGTGGATGTAAATTGAAGCACAGGGTACATAATTGGGAGGAGAGGACGTTAGAGGGAAGTTGGTGACGAGCTTATTAGATTGTATGGGAGTCCTGGCTGGTCTTTAACATTCCAGTGTTTTCATTAAATTCTGCAGCAGACTGTGGCCCAGGGTAAAACGTGTTATTCTGGAAATAGGCATGAGCTTTTTTCAAAATATATTCAAGCATTTTCTGCGTTCTGGGATGTGGCTCTTGGCTGGGGAATAAGGTGTGCAGCTTAGCCATAGGCAGCGTCTGATTTTTAGGTGTTGTCACCTTGAACTAACGCTGTTAATTGAGCTCTGCAGACAGTGCCGAAGTACAAAGGTGCTCGGCATTGCGACGAGAGCACCTCTGCGTGAGTGAAAGGGTGCTCATAAACTGACTCGTGGGTGACTTGGTCCTCCACCTTCTTACACGTGACTTGCTGCTTCTGGCAGAAGCATGGAGCGTCCAACAGGAGGTAGATTTTATGGCAGCAGAGCGTGCCAGCGTTTGTTGCGGGGCTTAGGGGCGTTGTCAGGGCTGAGAGTTCGCTGCTGAGCGTGCAGCAGAATCCACCCGAAGCTGTGCCTGGACAGAGGGTGTTCACGCGTGCCGTTTGCTCCATGGCGAGGCGTTTCTGTGTCTTGGAATCTTACAGAGAGTCTCATTAGACAGAACATTTTTGCAGACTTTACTGTCTTCCTTACTACTAGATGTAAGCGTAGAGTAACGTAAATTGGAAGGGACACCCTGGGTGTGTCTGGCACAACCGTCTGCCTCAGAGCAGAGCTCACTTCAGCGCCTTGTCCAGTCCCGTTTTGAGTGTTTCGGTGTAAATAATCCTGTTTATTTTTCCATTTCAGTCTACTGCTGAAGGGTTTAAGGAAGCTGTCCGATACGTCCTCCCACGGCTCATGCTTATCCCAGTCTATCACTGTTTGCACTACTTCGAGTTACTACAGGTAAATGAAGCTACGCTCTTGTTTCCTGCTAAAAACATTTCTTAATGTGGAGAATCTGAGCTTTTAAATAGGCGATTAGGTTTTACTTACTGCTTCTGAAAACTGAAAGATGCGGAAACGTTAATTTGACACCGGTTAGGATATGTCTGATAAGTAAAATCACGTTAAAAAAAAATCAAAGCATCTGTTGCTCTGATACGAACATTTCAAGTAACTATCTTTTATTAAACCTTTATTGAACTGGAGTTCTAACACAGTTAAAATTTAATGCGCAAATCTGATTTCTTCATTCCTTGAGTTCTGAATTTTTTGTCCGTTCAGAAAAAGCTAAGCATAATTCAGATCAGTATTCTCCATCTCAAGTCAGACTCCACTTGCAGTTCAGCTGATCTGATTTTGGGCGCTGGGGAGGCGCTTCCTTTCAGCAGAGTCAGAATAATCCATTCTGAATGTTCAGCCATTTGTCCTAAGAGAAATGCAGCAAAAAATACCATTTTTCATAGCATACCACGCTTCCACATTGAGGAGGACTGAAAATAAGTATTGTTATTTTCTATCTTGTAAGAAATGACATTGATGAAATGTCAGGCTTTATGGAATTCTGATTCGGATGATAAAAAGTTATCCCTGTAGGACATATTTCAGGGGTCTTACCAGACAAGTTGTTTAGGTTGGCATCTAGTCTGTATTTATAAGCAATTCTGCCTATGGAGGCATTACTTATTTTAGAACAGCCTCTATTTGTCTGACCACAGATCACTTGCACATATTTTATTCTGGTGTACACTAGCAAGGTGGTTCACATCAGTGGATATTTCCCTGGGGTAGAACAGCTAAAAGCCAAAAAGTAACTAAGCGTGTATCTTTTTGCTTACAAGCAAATGTTTTTGCTGTGAGTTATGAGAAGAGAAGCCAGCAGTCAGCAGAAATTTAACATCTGAGATCTATAATCATCATTCTTGAATAAGAAAAAGTAGTGTTGCTGTAGAAAATGCAGTATCTTGAAAAATACTTAATCAGAGATTTTTTTGAGTAGCTGAAGATAATGTAAAAAAAAGTTTCTGTTTGCCCCATTGTGTTGGGAGAGTTTATAATGCTTGTAAGGGTAAGTGAATTATTAACTAACTGGGATATACTTAAATAGGTGAAATATCCTGTGGCTATAGCTGACATTTTGAAACAGCAACAGAAATGACACTTTTAAATGCTCAGTGTGAAAAGTGACACCAGCAGTGTTGTGCAGGTGGTCGATGGTTGAAGCAAGAAGGGGAAACTTTGCAACACAGAACTTATGTATAATACAATATAAAATTTTCTCAAAAGAATCTCCAGCTAAAAAATAGAAATAGGTTGAAGACAAGGGCTGTAGTTAATATCTGGCACGTATTTATTTTTTTTTTTTTTCAAGTTCAGTCTTGTTTTCATTGTTTGCTGTGATTTTTTGCATATCCTGATTCAGATAAGTAAAAATAAGGTTGATTTATTTTGACCCATTGTCGCAAATGAGTGGTTAGGTCACTTAAATGTAATATCCTATGGCTGTGATTGCAATAGTAAATTCTTTCTAATCCCTTTGTAAATGCTAAGTTAAGCAGTGATTGATAGTTGCTACATTCCTGTGATTCTCTTTCTGTTGTTAAACTGTGAACACACCCTGAGCTGCCGCGAAGCGTATTCCTTAGGCATGAAGCATATTCCTTAGGCATGAACCGCTGTGGTCTGAGGCCGGTCTGCATCCAGCCGCACCCAGGCTCTGCTCCGAGAAGGAGTTCAGAAAGCAGAGGGGCTCCAGGCCGAACCTGGGGGCTTGACGGGAAGGTCTCCCTCCCCTTACACTTTGCTTCCACTGTGCAAATCATTGTCTGCTCAAAACCCCCTTTGATTTTTGTGTTCCATTCATTTAATAAGTAATAGAGTGAGCCTTGCCAACGAACTCTGTAAAATCACATTTTCTAGATTTTCAGTAAAATCTTTTCTTGCGAACTCTTTGAGGGATCATTTAAGCAAAGTAACCGCTCATTCGTGACACCCATGAACCGCACATCTCCCGTGTACGGATTACCAGTAGTTCGTAGAAAGGTTTAAATCCAAGTGGCCTCAATAAATTTAAAATCTTTATGCATTTCTATTGGTAGTTAGTTTAGAAAACAGTTAACAAAGCTTAAAAAAACCCCCAAAACCAAAGAACCCAAAATAACGCGAGCGGTCGGTGAGCTTTTCTCTAGATTACTGCACTGTCTCTGTTGGGAACAGAAACTTGACATTGCCATAATTTTAATATCTGCCTGCAGAAAGCTTGTGTTTCTGTAAGGACGTCTTCCAAAAGCAAACGAGCTGTCCCCAGAACGAAGGCTGGCAGCAGAAGCACGGCAGGGTTCTGCCAGCCTGGCTCCGAAGTGGGCACCGATAGCATCGTAGATGACGTCTCACTTGCAAAATAATGTGACTTCCCTTTCCGTAAGGGTCAGCTGGAACTTCTTAAAATGTTCTTCTTTCGCATTTAAAAGATGGAATTGGCTTAGTGACCTGTGTGATGCTGAAGGTCAGGCTAATTAAGGACCCGTTGTGTCTTAAAGCTGGGAAGTGGAGTGCAGCGGTGTGAAATTAATGAAATCCTACGCTGCAGCTTTGGGAGAAGATAAACATTGAACTGATTTTACAAGCGTTGGTCTGCTTTGGGGGGAAACATTAACGTGTATGCCTTAGTGAGCAGAGTTTGGTGTATTTTTCAAATTTAAGATTAAATGCTTTGCATGCAAACTTGGTGGTTTTTTTCTGCAGCGCCAGGAAAGGGTGGTTACTATTTCTGTTTCGAACCATGGCACAGAGGAGATAATTTGTTTCTGACAGCCTGTCTTAAATCTGTAACGCTGAGAGAGCGCTCTGTCTCTTGGGGCTCGGAGTCTGCTGGTAACTCCAGTTAATATCGCTGGGTCAGGTTATCCGTGCACGTTCTTAGCATGGCCTCCTGTCTTTGAAGGCTGAGGTCTGGCAGGCAGTGCAGAAACGTTCGGTTCTTTCTTTCGTTTGTTTTGTAACTTGGACAACACAGCAGGGTGCTGCGCGAAGTATGATCTGACATGATACCTGGTTTTAGTTAGGGATTTTTAGTAGTGAAGGTGATGAAATATGACTTTTATTCACAATATACAAGATTTCAGAATAGAATTGGAATTCAGCTGCAGAGGCCGACGCTTGGCTGTCTTGAGTCTTTCTAACCTTGTGAGCGTAGAGATCTTAAATACCGCTCTAGTGAATAGTGATAAATACGGAATCTATTGTGGTGATCACTTCAGTTGCAAGTTTAAAACTTGAATTTTATGTTGTACTTTGAAAACATCCTAAATTTGTAGCAGTGCAGTGTTTTTAGGGATAGAGAAAGTATTTATGCAACAATATCAATATGTTACAGACTGTTGGTACTGCTTCCCTGTTACTGTAGTATTTGTCTCTAGGAAACTTGGTTGAAAAAGACCTAACAAAAAGCAACAGAATACTCAAAATATTTGCTTGGCTTCGGTGGGGAGAGAAGCTAAGACTGAGACTGTTGCTCCTAAAGAAAGTTACCACAGAACCCTCCTGAATTGGGAGGTAAATAAAACAACGAAGGATTGACAGAAGCGCCGGCCTCCATGTTTTCTCTTCTGCAAAACAGCACAACTAAAATGAATGAAATTGAAGTGTGAACAGCTCAACGATAATTTCGGGCTGCAGAGCTTTTCTCCTTGGTGCGACAGGCTGTCCCTGCAGCCTCTGTGGCAGGCTCTGCACCCAGAGACAGAAAAACAGAATCACAGAATAGTAGGGGTTGGAAGGGACCTCTGTGGGTCATCTAGTCCAACCCCCTGCCCAAGCAACCCCCGCGTCGGGTTGGTTTGGTTTGTCTGATTCTCGTTAGCAGCCGTGTGGAGGTCACCGGGAGTCAGGGGACGGGCCCCGACGGCACCTTAGCATTGATGGCTTGTTCAGGTATGGACAGAAAATGAACCTGTGGCAGGGTGTTACGGAATGACTGATGGTAGCAAAGGTTGAAGGAAGTCACACTAAAGAAATAAAACTCTCTCGTAGGGAAAACATAGTGCTAGGGATCAAAAGTTGGTGGAGCTTGCAAACAGGGAGCCCAAATATACCACGATTGTGACACCTTTGATTGTCAGAGTGTTCAGGTTTAAAACACTGTGCCTGACACTTCCAAGCGTGAACACCTTAATGCTGGCAGTGTAGAGGAGAGCTTGGTGTTTCGCTGGAATTTCGAGCTCCAGGTAGGTTTTTGTAAGTCTGTCTGTTGACACCAGTGTTGCAGGAAATATTCTTCATTGAGTGCAGTGCGAAGAACCCAAGGGCCATATAATCCATGTGAATCCTGAGCTAGGTGCCAGTTAGGTACGGCGTTAAAATCCCGACGGTGAGCAGAGGTCTGTGCAAGTCCACGTTCAAGTCCAAGAAGGCTCTCCTTAGAGTGTGTCCTTCCTTCTCACGTGACTTGCAGGCAGATGATGATCCATAATTCTTGCATGTGACTCGCTACGTTGTTATCAAGCAACCCAAGCCATGAAATTCTGCCATTTCATCTTTTCCGCTGTTAGCTAATCATCGGCAGCCATTGACTGACAGAGAAACCCCAGTCAGTGTTTATCATCGCTGGTTTTTAAATGGGTGTGGCATAAGCAGGCCCCTCTTTTCCCTTTTCTAAAGATTTACATGTTTTCTCCGTCTAGCAAGCATCTGCCGTTTAATCGGAAAGATGCTTGTGAAGAACTGGCGTTTGGAAAAGCAGATGTTAGTCCAGGGACTGCAGAGAATGAGATGTGCTGCGCGTAATCTCCCGCATCTTCAGGCATCTCCGCATTAAGGTGTAGAAATGGATTCGATTACTTCCAACTGTGTGTGCATATATATGTTTTTTTTTTTCCTTCTTTAATACAAAACAGGCAAAACATGCCAGCGTGTCTGCTAACTGCCAACAGTAGCTCCCTTTGGAAAGGGTATGCAAGAATTTCTGCTCCGGACATGTGAGGAGAGTATTTTACCAGACTCGGTAGCTTTTCCCACCTTCAGGATTTTGCATTTGTCGTCTTTTCACACCGTTTTTACGTTCTTTGCATTTCTGTGGCTGATAGTAAGGACAAGAAGGAATTCCACAGAGGTAGACATCTGATTTTTCCCTTCCCGGTACTGTTCCTCAGCTCGTAAACTTCCCACAAACGTTTGGCCGTGAAACTTTCATTTCTCTAATATGCCAGATGGAGGTTGTTTGGGCATGTGAAAAATAAAAATTTTAGTAGTTTAAATTACATGAAGAGAGTGGACCAGTCTGGTCAAATCCTGTTCTCTCAATTACTTTTAGAGGAAGCTACATATCCTTGCTGAGGGAACGTAGTGGGGAAAGGAAAAGAAGGCTTCTGCCATGCTGAGTGATTGTAAGTAAGATTTCTCTTAAGAAGTAAAATAGAGTTTATCCAAAACTGCGTGGCATATTGTCCGTTTTCTTGAATTTTCTTTAAAAAACATCATATGATTTTGAACATGAAAGGGGTTAGGAAGTAAAATCTCTCTTATATATATGGGTAATATTTTAGGAGTGATGGCTTTAAAGAACAAAAAAGAGGAACTCTGTGAGTAGGCTTTGGTCAAAGCAGGTTGCTATCAAGTCGATGGAGAGGATACGAAAGCCTGTTGAATTTCCTAATTCAAGAAGTTTCCGCTTAGTGGTGGAGTTGGATCTAGTCTTTGTAAAGAAACACACGGATTCTCACTGTCTTTAGATTTTGCTGTTAGTAGCAAATCTTGAATGTCAGACTTTTTTTTTTTTAGTATGTTAGTTTACACGGTGCAGAACTGACATTTCTTGTTCAAATAGATGAGTTTGCTGAAGGTGGCAGAATTTAGAATGGTAAGAAGCAAAGCGAATCGTGGTCACTCTGGCTTTTAAATTTGCACTGGAATGTTGAGATTGACTCATTGAAGGAATGTTACACGTAGTTACGTAAAACAGCATTTGATTCTCAGCTATTTCAAGCCTCCAAACTGTTTAATAAAATCAGTTGTGAAACAGGACGTTGTTGAAATGATAACGGGAAAAACAGTGTCTGACAATTAGCAGTGGCTCTCGGTAAAAGGGTAAAGGGTTATCTTTCTGAACTCCCTCCTGCGCTCTCCTGCTGCGTAGCTGCTGGCTTTTCCTGAATATCTGACAAATGGGTTTTACTCACGTGCACAGCTGGTTTGGAGTGTGCTCCTAGTAGCAACTCCCAGATTGACTTGAAGGCGCTGATTCACCGAGTACTGTAGGTAACGCTGCCTAAGAACGTTCATCAGTCTTCCTACCCATCTATAAATCAGACAAATCTGAAAGAAAAATGTTTTTTATGTCACAGCAGTTGCAGGAAGGCAGCGAAGACGAAGAGGACCGGGAGGGCTTAAAGCAAGCCATTACCGCCCTTCTGAACCTGCAGTGCAGCATGGAGCGCATTTACAGCAAGCACTCCCCGAGACGCCGGCCTGGGTAATCGTCCGCAGAGCCCCCCTCGTTTCCCAGAGCTGGCAGAGAAGCAGATAAATGATGTGGAAGGAGTTGTAATATTTCTTGTTAGATAATGTGTGTGTTTCCTTTTCAAGGCACGGCTTTATGCCAGTTTTCGTTGTAAACTGAGTAGCAGCCCAAAATCTTCACGGTCCACTTCCATGAACAATGTCAA